TGAGGATCATTTCACATGGAACTATCAGCACAGCCAAGCCATGGTTTTTATCTCCAGTGTTTGATGGGACACGTTATAAAATCAGCAGCCTAACGAACCGGATGGAGGCTGCAGGTATAAACTTGCTGTTGGATGCACATTTCAGCCGTCTTTGTCTTTCCTTCTACTATCTGTGTGTTACAGTTTTCTTCACTACGAGAAACAACAACAACCTGCACACTGAAAATATCGACTTTGTTGAGGATCTGGCTCCTGCATTAAAGCAGCACTGCGAGTGTTTTACAGAGAATTTAGTCACACTTCTCTTCTCCCTGTGTGCAAATGTTGAGAAAACTATGTGAATGAAAGAGTTGTGAAGCGACTGCAGCCTCACTGATCAATAATCTATTGACTGAGAACACAAACTTTGTTCTGTGCTCATGTTGGAGTCACTTCATCACAAATCATCAAATTCTAACAACATTTGCTGCTCAACCATTTCTAGTTTAGCCTCAAATCTTTACACCATAATATTTCACATTAGAAAGTAAATTCATTCTCTTGATCATTGTAGAAACTGGTTGATAGGATCCAAATAGATCATCTTGCTTTGTATTCCATTGGGAATAAACTTAAAGACCAAAGTCACAGCTGGATTCTGTGCAGACAGTTTCACTGTGACTTCACTGTATATTTATAGGAACGGCTGAACAGTTAACTTTCAAGCAGCTCTTACAATAAGTACATTTATTCAGTACAATAGGTCACAATACACTCTGTTTCTCCAGCCTGAAAAATAGAGTCGGAAAATGAAAAATATGCTCGTATAAACAAAAGTCATTTTTAGTTGTACTTGGAGAAGCATTTTGAAAATGCACAACTCTGTTCCACGTGGATCAGACTATCTACCAATATTTTCGTCATACTTGCTCAATCTGTGATAAAAGTTCAACAAAAAAACTTTTGTTGTCATGCTTGTGACCAAGTATTTTATATTAAATAGTATTGTCTATGTTTTATTTAGTATTACTGTGACATGCAGCTACATGTGGTTCAGCAAATATCACGAGTCGACTTCTGCCTCATCAGTGTTTTTGTTAATGTGAGCTTAAAGATGAGACTTTTTATGGCGGCTTCAGTTCATACTTTTCCAGAATCCACTTGTCCATTATTGCAGATTCTGAATTAATGACATAATGAAAAATAACAGTGAAAATTTCAGGCTTTTATTTTTAACAGTTTCTGACAAATTGTCATTCAAACAGCCTCAAATTTAAATTTGTGAAAAACCTGCTGAAAGCGGGTCGACGGGCAACTTAACAAAAATCCTGGAAAGTAAAACTATCAAGCAAAAAATTCACAGATACTATTGTAAATATTTTATAGTTTATAGTTTAAAGCAAATCAGAAGCAGTTGAGCAGAAGGTTCCTGATGATTTGAGATGGAACAACACGTTGGTGGTTAAGTCAATGGACAAATGATATATTATGAATGATACTGAAATACATGAACACTGTTCCAGTCAATTCTGGTTTGTCTTAAACACACCAACTATGGTTCGAGGTCATTAACCTCCGCAAAAGTCTTTGTCATGGTGTTCATGCTAGCTAAAAGCCCACAATGCTCTCTACTGCCCAACAGTCCAACTGACCACCTCCTCTGGTTGCCACAGTATTAAACAGTAAGGGGCTCCACCTGGTGGAACAACCAGGTACTACAGCTGATCTACATTACCAGAAGTGTGAAGTGAATGAAGTGGATATGAGGCAGCACCTTATACTGATGTCTACATATTATGGATATTTTACTACAACATTATATTTCAACTTACCTCTCATAGTTCTTCTGATATATCGGAACCACCCAATCTTCCAACATATCAGAAATGTAGCTAAAACTGTTGAGAATACAACCAAATCGCAGACACCAGCACCAGCAATTACTCCAACACATTTTGTTTTCATGCTGTCACCTGTAACACAGAAATTTAACAGTCACAAACTAAACAAAGTGAAATGATCTGCTAAATTTTATGTAAAATCCAAGACATGAACATCTGAAAGACCAAACTTACGACAGATGTGTACGTGAATGTGACCTTCAGTCATGTGGTGGGGTTCCTGCTGAGTAACTACACAGCAGAAGTTGCTGGTTTTGGTCACATTAGTTTGGAGGGTCAGAGCTGGAGGACAGTGGGGATCATCTGAGTCCTCAAGCTTCTCCTCAGCAGGAAGGATGATTCCATCGCTGTCATGCCACACAATCTGTGTTTTCGGAAAAGCCCTACGAACCTCACACTGCAGCAGCGCCCAGTCTGGTGTAATGCTAAGAATCATGACACGTGGCTTCGGAGACACACCTGTAAATATAATAAAAACAATAAGTTCATATAACATTTGATTAGTATCAAAAACTGTGCACTTACAAAACATGTGTGTGTACATGACAGGTGAGCAGAAAACTGTGTCCACAAGCAGAAAATCACCCTTGCGAGGGACAACTTCTGCACAAGAACAATCCAACAAGCAGTAGTGTAGTGTTAGAGGGTGGGGTGGACCGTTGAGCCACAAGTTGGAGGATGTCAGGATGTTGTTGTAGATGAGCTGTAGTAGCTGGTTATACCCTCTCACTGTTTAATACCGGAGAGACCAAAAGACGTCAATGGTTAAAGTTGACTAGTTGTAAATAAGTTACAGATATCTACAATGACTTCTTTATATCACTTAATCAAACTAGAAGATTAGTGACAACTTAATTACACATATCTGTCACAGAATGCAAACAGAAGTCAATAGTCTGGTTGATTAGTTGTAATTAAATCACAGATATGTACAATGGACGTCTTCACCACTACAAAATCATTGGTTGATATCAAGTATTATGAGAAATGAATCCATCCATCCATTATCTATACACTGCTTAATCCTCACTGGGGTCGCGCGGGGGCTGGAGTCTATCCCAGCTGACTTAGGGTGAAGGCAGAGGACACCCTGGACAGGTTGAGAAATGAATGATGTTTGTATTTGAGTTTGAATAGAAGTCAGTCGTTAGAGTTCACTAGTTGTGTTTAAGTTATAGATATCTACAATTTCTGCTAGAAATTAATCAGTTCTTAACATCAACAACAAACATTTAGACTCGTGAGAAATGAAACACAGAGATCTGCCATTAAGTTTCAACAGAAGTTAATGGTAAAAGCTGTGATAAACTTACAGACATCTACAATGGACATTTCCACTGATATCAAGAATTAACATTTTGACTTGTCAGAAATTATTCATATACGTGTGTCAATGACTTTGAATAGAAGTCAATGGTTCAAGTTTGCTAGTTGTGACTAAATTACAGTCATCTGTCACGGACACTTTCACTACTACAAAATGATTTATTGATAATAAGCATTAACATTTTGACTAGAGAGAAATACATTATAAATATTTGTAACTGAGCTTCAGTAGAAGTCAATGGTTAAAGTTATTACGTTAAAGGCATCTACAAGAAGCATTTTCAATAGCAAGAAATCATTTGTTGATATCAGGAATTAACATCTTGATGAGTGACAAATACGTTATTAATATCTGTAATTGTGTTTGAATAGAAGTCAATGGTAAAAACTGACTAGATGTAATTAAGTTATAGACATCTACAATGAACATTTTTAATTCTACGAAATCAGTTGTGGATTGGAGGAATTAACATCTTGACACGTGAAATGAATGACGGACATCGATCACAGTGTTTGAATAGAAGTCAACGGTAAAAACTGACTGTTTGCAATGAAGAGAACATTTTGACTCGCGAGAACTGAAATACTGTAAATATCAGGAAATAGAATTGCTTCTCGTCAGAATTACATTTTGGATTTATTGGAAGTCTGACCAGTCAAAAAACAACCGTTAACATCCACAACTGCTATTACTGCTGCTGATTATACGTTTGAAGGGCTCCCAGATGTGACCAACCGTTCACAAGAATCAAACCTGTCAACAAGTAACTCACCAACAAGAAGCTCAATGTGGAATCTTTGTTGTTGGATATGCGGGAAATAACAGGTGTAGCTTCCACTGTCAGACGGTCGTGTGTTTCTGATGATGATGGAGGCGTTGCCGTTAATTAGTTCATCTGGAAAATGAGACACTCGTCCTTTGAACTGCTCGTCTTGACCTGGATGTCCGCTATTGGAATGAGTGCCGGCGTTGTACAGAAACACCTCCTGTCGATCATCTTTCATCCAGTCAAACAGAGCCAGTTCGATGTTCTTATTGTTGAGGGAACACGGTAAAACGACGTCACTGCCGGCCATCACCATCCGTTTGACGACACCTTTTGAAAGATAAAAGCACATTTAAATTTCCACATTTACATGAACAGTCATCGGGTTAAAGCAGGAAAAACACAACTGTAACACCTGCCACCGGCATTAAGGTGATAAAGACCTTCATTCATCGTGAAGGAAATTCTTGTGCCAGATAGAAAAGCCATCAGACATAAGTAGGGTACAGTGGTAACATAAAAATAACCAC